TATAAAATTAAGGCATTTGATTAAGTTTTTGCCAACAAAACAATTGTATCATCATGTATATTTTGCTTTTAGTTTTTAAGATGTTGACATGTCACCTGTTTTACCAGCTGTGCTGGGGAGGAAAATGTATTGTGACAAATAAAGAATCTGAATCTGAATCAGTGATTAACTAAAATCACAAGAATATGTTAACAAATTACTTTGGAGATCAAGCAACGTTACCTAATGGGCTTATTTTATCTTGATAAAAGAAATTCAGGCCTACTGCTTATTTTTAATGATACGGTATCTCTTTGTATTATGAATGTTCCAATATATTGTGCGGTTGAATCAAAAGTATAACTCAGGGAAAAGTGAACAAACAATATTTTAAAAGTTGTAACCAATGTACCTACTTGTACTTTTCAATTATAATTCATGCTCTTAAGGGAAGGGTTTTGAGAAACTGAATTTTGTGGGAAAGTTTCTCATCAAGACCTTTCATTCAAGTTCGGTTGATGAGTGTGCTGCCTAAGGCTTCCTTAAAAGTTTGTGATCGTTATTATCATTGACCATTTCACATGCAATTGTATTGTCTATTGGGAAATAAAGCTTTGATTTGATTTGATTATGTTTATATAAGTTAAATATAAGTTATATGTCATAAGTTAAATGATCTGTGCCGACGACCAGACTCTTTATTAAAATTGAAAACACTAATGTAAAGGACAGCAGGACACAGTGTCAAATCATCAAATGATTACCTTTAATACTGTAATAGGAGGTGGTGGAAGCGCCGGGAGTTTTGTAATTGTTTACAAAACTTTGATCTTGGTACCTCTTAGAAAAAATAATTGGCTTTAATTTTTGGGGTTCTAGTAATGTGAAAAGTTTGGTTTTGTAATATATATTATTTGTAATCACCACTTTGGTGCAGTTTTTTTGGGAGTTCAGTGTGTTTTGGGACAGCAGTGAAGGGCTGAAATGTCGTTAAGGTGAAGTTTTCCAGTGTTATTTTGTGCGAGTTTATATGTTATGTGCGGGTTGCACGTGAGTTTGATATGTGTTCGTGTTTGGTTACACGAGTGTTCTAAGCGTCATGTGCGGGTTGCACGTGAGTTTGATATGTGTTCGTGTTAGGTTACACGAGTGTTCTAAGCGTCATGTGCGGGTTACACTTGAGTACAATATGTGTTCGTGTTTGGTTACACGAGTGTTCTTTGCGTCATGTGCGGGTTGCACGTGAGTACAATATGTGTTCGTGTTTGGTTACACGAGTGTTCTTTGCGTCATGTGCGGGTTGCACGTGAGTACAATATGTGTTCGTGTTTGGTTACACGAGTGTTCTTTGCGTCATGTGCGGGTTACACGTGAGTACAATATGTGTTCGTGTTTGGTTACACAAGTGTTCTTTGCGTCATGTGCGGGTTGCACGTGAGTACAATATGTGTTCGTGTTAGGTTACACGAGTGTTCTTTGCGTCATGTGCGGGTTACACGTGAGTACAATATGTGTTCGTGTTTGGTTACACGAGTGTTCTTTGCGTCATGTGCGGGTTGCACGTGAGTACAATATGTGTTCGTGTTTGGTTACATGAGTGTTCTATACGTCATGTGCGGGTTGCACGTGAGTTCGATATGTGTTCGTGTTTGGTTACACGAGTGTTCTATGCGTCATGTGCAGGTTGCACGTGAGTTCGATATGTGTTCCTTGAGTTTATTGTGTGTCGTGTTTGGAAGCAAAAGAGTTATTGCGTTACGTGCTAGATGCACGAGGTATTATGTGTTGTGCTGGATGCACAGGGTTTTCATTTGTTATGTGCTGGGAGCACAAGGTGAATTCGTGTTACGTGCTGAGTGCACGAGGTACTTTTTTGCTTTATGCTAAGTGCTAGCTGCACAAGGTTTTTATTTGTTCTGTGCTGGATGCACATGTGTAATGTGTGTTTCAGATGTCGTTTGCTGTGCACAAATGTGGGTATTTGCCTGGTTAAATTTGTGTTGAATCTGGGATCTTGTAGTTCCCAGGTTTCTCGAAGATGTAATTCTGTGGTTGCAGACCTGCTATTTCCACCCTAGAGTGTATATTGTGCAAATAATGTGGCGAACATGTGTGTTAAAATTAGTATGTTTCAGCTCTTTATGCGCGGTAGGTGCAGTGAATGGTGGATCAATATATATTATTTGTAGAAGTAGTTTGAGGGATAATTATTCAAAGTGTATTATGGTGTACTGTTTTAGAAATATATTTGAGTTTAAACATTAATTTGGTAGTAATATATTTTTTTCAGATGGGGATTGTTACGAATGTTTAATACTGTTAATGATTATAGTAGGTGTTTATATGTTGATATTTCAGAGTATAGCACGAGCAAAGTTGCGGTGAGAGAAGTCAGCATGTTTGTAGGCTGAGGAATGCTGAGCGTGGTGTAAATGGCCTCTCTGTGACCTGACCTTACTGACTGCTGACCGTGTTTTGTTACAATGTTTACCTTTTAATACTGATGCTCTAGAGTTTGCTTTGGGAAATCAGCAATGCATGAATGTTTTATTTTGGGAACAAATTTTTGTTTTTACAGGTGATAGATTGTTGGAGAAATTTTAAAAGGGAAATTGGTTTTGCTTACGGGTTAGATTGTAACGATTTGGGCCCAAATCATTTTTTCCAGCAATCTTTTTTTTATGCATTTTCATTGGAAAATTATATATGCCGTTTTTAAGTGCATTTTTGAAATAACACATTGTAGCTAAAATTTAACTTGTTTTTAATATGTAAGCAAACATAATTTCACTCAATGTTGTGAGGAGAAATGACCAAAATGTTGGTAAACCTTTAAACATAAATTATGTAAGCTATATTGAATAGGGTAGTTTGAAAATTTTAAACTATTATTTTGACAATGATAAATTGTGTTTGTGTTTTAAAAATGCTATGGGAAAGTCTAATTTTATTGAAAAATGATTTTGTTTTGTTTTTTCTTTGTTTATACTATTTTAGGGATAAATTGTATCATATTTCACAAAGGTGGCAACTGTATTGGGAAATAATGTTTTTAATTTTGCAATAGTTTCCTCTAGTAAAATTAACAGTCTGGCAAATTTTGAAGACAAGACGGATTATGTATTAAAAGAGTATTTTATTGAGATATATTTTGGTTTTTAGATTTTTAATTATCAGGGACTTCAGTGGGAGACAAATTGTTTACGGTATTTTATTTTTGATTCAGACTTAAATTGCAAAGTACCAGATATGAGAGACAACTGTTAAACTATTCCTTGTTTCGGATGCTTTAAAAGGCCATACTTGAAGAGTTAAAAGTAAACCAATCAGAAATTATATAGGCCTATAATGTTTTGCTATTTAATCGTATAGGCCTATGATTTGTTAAGGTAACACATTCCAAACACTTCTCTTAGTTTCAATAATTTTTGTTTTAATGTTGGTTGTTTTGTTTTGTTCTAAATGTGAGTTTGAGAATTTCTTTAAAAGTCTAGGGTTTTTTTTTTTATAAATTGTATGTTGTATTTGTGAGTTATATGTTTGTGTAGGCTTCCTATTTACCTATCCCCACTGACCAACTGTAGACAAGGCTACAAGAACTTCATGATTTGCCGTGTTATCTTCAACATTGTGATCGGAGGAAGAGACTTTGTCAAACTCAATGAAAACTGGGGAAACGCAGCTGGGGGCAAGGGCTTTTAAGAAGAGGAGAACTTCAGGCTGCAGTACACTCAATCAATGGCAAAGGCAGTCCAACATCATCGTCAACCAAAGTCGATTCATCATCAATGCTGTCAAAGAACGCTGGATGGACTACAGACTATAGACACCGAAGTGGGAGACATCGCAGAAGACATGGCTGTGGTCAAACATCTGAAGACCAACGTTCGAGGAGGCTTTATCGACGCATCTGCTGAGGAAGTCAGCGAACAGTTGGTCAGTTCTTCCCCTCCTAAACCTCATTATAATTTTATTTAGGTACAATTTGAAAGATTTTAATCAGTTTTTGTCATTAATTTTTTTTTCTCTCTCTGAGTGGATGTATCTATGTAGTTGAGACGCTGGGGACATCGTCTGGAGGAAATGGGGGGATGTAATAGGAGGGTCAAATATTGTAAAGAGGAAGTGTTTGGCAATGTTCTGTGAGTAGGCTGGTAGTGTTGTTAAACAATAACTTGTTGTGCTGACCTACTGAAAGCTGTTGCTTTAAGTAGGCCAGTGCACTTGATCAGGGGGACAGTTTTGGTGTGTAGTGTTTGTGTGGTGCACCAGAGGACGGGGTCCTGTTGGGGGAGCTGGAGCCCAAGGCCCTTGGCCTTGGGTCCAGGTAAGACAATGTAAAGGGTTTTCAAAATTGGGGTTTAGAGTCTTTTCAAAATTGGGGGTTAAGCTACTAACTAATTTATACAGTTCCAGTTTACTCTACCTTTTTGATTGTTAGTTAATCTTTGTGTTCTTTGTGTTGTTTTGAGTAATTAATAAAGTTGGGTTTTGTAAGCGAGTGCTGAGTTTCATTCCTGAGCTATGTCACCCAAAGTAGCGGTAGGTATTCCAAGAAGAATCCCTACCGTTACAATACCTATTGATAATATTGATTCATCATGATAGAACTGGTAATCTTCTGCTGGTGATGGATTAACTTTATATATATACTCAGCTATCCAGCATCATTTTTTAAGTAAATTATATGACTAAGTTTATAATTTAATCGGACTAAGTAATTTATTAATAAATTGCCCAAAGTCAAAGTGTAGGAGTTAGGAACTTAATTCAATGTTTAGGGCCCTACAGTAAGGTGAATCTTTCAGCAGTTTATGTCGAATATAAGTTGTTTTTTTGCATAGACTGTAAGGTAGGCCTAGCAACTAAAATGGAATTTTGGTTAACTTATTACTTGGCACCTTGGTGCCTGAAGTATACTGATGTGGTTAAAAGGGCCAAAATCATCTCATTACAACAACATAGGCTACTCAATCTATACAGTGTACAGGTAGCGTTAACTAGGGAAAACCTGATCATACCTTAGAGGGATGCACTTGAATGGAAAGAGCCTTGTTAACTGATAAAACTTTGAACAGAAAGGGTAACTGTGCACCAAAAACTTTCTGAACATCTGCACCAATCAAATGAGGGTGTTCCTTCAGCCAATCGTTCAGACTCTCACCAGATGAGGCTATGAGGGATGGTCCATTAGGATGCGTTCCCATCCACAACTCTGCATATGGTGTCCTGCTGTCAATCTCAAAGGCCACATTGTTTGCTTTTGCCAATCTTGCAGCTTCACTCTCTTCGCCAACCTTTCCCCAATCATATTTCTGAAGATAACAATTCAGCTCCATGATCTGAAATGGTATTTAAACTTAGAGCCCATCTATTTTACAGCAAATTGTAAATCAAGCTAATAAAGCCTTGCCTAGTTAATTAATTTTAAGGTTATTTTAAGCCTTGACAGTTTTAATAAAAAAAATTAAGAGACGGGTACAGTTCCACAGAAAACCTGCGAAATTATTGGTTTGAATATCAATATTTTTTTGTACTAGGACGCTAGGCACAAACCCGGAATTGTTTTTCACATAACTTCAAGCTAGACGTAGGGGTTGCGACATTATCACATAGCCTGGATATTAAATCCATTGGTGATTTGGCAGAGTTTGAAACCAGTACCTCTGGAACCGAAGTCCCGGTTTGAATATAAGCCTACAGCAATTACTATAATTTGGTTTGATTATCGCTTCTATTTTTTCCCTGATGTAACTTAGGCCTAAACATCGCATTGAGTTATGATCTGTCAACGTTTTGATTGGTGTTTAATACTTTATTCTGAAATGGCAACCATCCAAATGTAGGTATTTTAAGCCAAGTATGAATGTGGATGAGTGGTGCGATCTAGTAGTCTTGTTAGTATCTTAGTCTTGTTAGACTAAGTTAACGCCCACATGTTCCTTAGACATAGCCTAATAAATGTAAACATCAAATTGAGTAAGTTAATAGTCTGTTTACATTTTTATTGATAAATTAAACTAACTCTCGTTATCCATAAGTTAGACAATTCAATCAAAAACATACCAAATATATTTTATCAACATTAACTAAGTTAAACAAACAATAACTTGACCAAAACTTTATAAGTTATGATTACCGGATAGTGTTCGAAAATGTTGGTATAGTTTCTTCCGTTTTTAGTAGTAAAAAGTTGGGATAAAACCGATGATGATAAAAAAATGTACCAACATGGTTGTGTTTGGGCTGCACTTTACTTTAGGTCCTACACTCATTCAAATGAAATTATCGATTATTCGATTGTTTCCTTCGATATATCGTTTGGTTAGTTGGGTTAGGTTAATCTTACCTAACTAACCAAACGATATAACTTATCGAACAATCGATATATCGATCGATATTTTCATTCGAATGAGTGTAGGACCTAAAGTAAAGTGCAGCCGAACCAAATTATAATTGATGTAAAGATAACCACATTTTGTAATTAGGCTATCCTTATGACGAGACTGATAGGCCTAGGTCTAGCATGTACCTAATTGTTGAATGGTCAAATAAATTCTTGATATTGAATAAGTTAGGCTATTGGCTATTGCTAGTTAATCTAATAATATATCGCAGGTTCTCTTTAGTATGCATGACTGTTAGTACCTATGAACAGCAAAATCTAAACATTAAACTAAACAAAATAGGCCTAGGCACTCTACTTTTAGCCTCCTTATATAAGTATGCCTATCTGTCACATGTTTATTAGGTGATATTTTATTCAAACCTTTTATCCTTTAGAGGATATTGACTTCATATGACGGTCGCTATTTTTTAAGACTAGTTTTCATTTACACGTAGCATAAATACGTAAACATTACCTTAACCTATTTATTGAACTAAAACTTTTAACTATTCCTCCAAATTTCAAAACAATTTCCAATTTCCCCATCCCATCAAAAGCTGTGTAAAGTAATCGGATAGCGCTGGGTTCACAACGATATGGTAGGCATTCGGTTAAATATCGAGCTTGTTTTCTACCGGATGACAGACATCGACTTTTAGTATCGGCATCGGCTCTGGCTGGCTCACCGCACCGGCTGCCTCGGTGGAATAGTAGGCCAGACTAAACAGGTCCGTGAAGTTGGCGTACCCATATTATTAGCGTATCCACTTTTGATCATACCAATCGTTAGTTCATCGTTAGTTCTCGATAGTTCCCAAATTTTTTCGTTAGTTCTCAAAAAATAAAAAAAGTTATAGACAATAATAAGTGGGTACGCTAACTTCACACTTCCGGGTTCTAGCGCGCGCCGTTTTCTGGTGAGAAATGTTTACATCTATATATCAATCGTTAGTTCTTCGTTAGTCCTCGATAGTTCCCAAATTTTTTCGTTAGTTCTCAAAAAATAAAAAAGTTACGAGGCATACAAAGTGGGTACGCTAACTTCACAATTGTACAATTTCCAGCGGGCACAGTTTTTTTACTATAATTGTCTATATCTATATACCAATCGTTAGTTCTTCGTTAGTTCTCGATAGTTCTCCAATATTTACGTTAGTTCTCAAAAAATAAAAAAGTTACGAGGCATACAAAGTGGGTACGCTAACTTCACAATTGTACAATTTCCAGCGGGCACAGTTTTCTGACTATAAATGCTTATATCTATATACCAATCGTTAGTTCTTCGTTAGTTCTCGATAGTTCTCCAATATTTACGTTAGTTCTCAAAAAATAAAAAAGTTACGAGGCATACAAAGTGGGTACGATAACTTCACAATTATACAATTTCCAGCGGGCACAGTTTTTTTACTATAAATGCCTATATCTATATACCAATCATTAGTTCTTCGTTAGTTCTCGATAGTTCTCCAATATTTACCTTAGTTCTCAAAAAATAAAAAAGTTACGAGGCATACAAAGTGGGTACGCTAACTTCACAATTGTACAATTTCCAGCGGGCACAGTTTTTTTTACTATAATTGCCTATATCTATATACCAATCGTTAGTTCTTCGTTAGTTCTCGACAGTTCTCCAATATTTACGTTAGTTCTCAAAAAATAAAAAAGTTACGAGGCATACAAAGTGGGTACGCTAACTTCATAACTATACAATTTCCAGCGGGCACCGTTTTCTGACTATAAATGCTTATATCTATATACCAATCGTTAGTTCTTCGTTAGTTCTCGATAGTTCTCCATTATTTACGTTAGTTCTCAAAAAATAAAAAAGTTACGAGGCATACAAAGTGGGTACGCTAACTTCACAATTGTACAATTTCCAGTGGGCACAGTTTTTTTACTATAAATGCCTATATCTATATACCAATCTTTAGTTCTTCGTTAGTTCTCGATAGTTCTCCAATATTTACGTTAGTTCTCAAAAAATAAAAAAGTTACGAGGCATACAAAGTGGGTACGCTAACTTCACAACTATACAATTTCCAGCGGGTACCGTTTTCTGACTATATATGCTTATATCTATACACCAATCCACAACATCTATTGTTGGTTCTTCCGTCAACAAAATAAGCTGTCTCCAGACATGCGCCACTCCCAAAACACGACATATTTGCCGTTCGACGATCTAACATCAATATTACAAAACTATCGAGAACTAACGATCGGTATATAGATATAAGCATTTTTATTCAGAAAACTGTGCCCGCTGGAAATTCTATAGTTGTGAAGTTAGAGTGCCCACTTTGTATTCCTTATAACATTTTTGTTTTTAGAGATCTAACATCAATATTACAAAACTATTGAGAACTAACGATTGGTATATAGATATAAGCATTTTTATTCAGAAAACTGTGCCCGCTGGAAATTCTATAATTGTGAATTTGGCGTACCCACATTTTATGCTTCGTAACTTTTTTATTTTTTGAGAACTAACGTAAATATTGGAGAACTATCGAGAACTAACGAAGAACTAACGCCTCAGTCTCCAACTGCCGAGCGGAAGACCCGCAGAACTGATGGCGACACCCCTGACAACGACTCTGAGATGGAGGACGAACAGACAGCAGCCGCCGGAGAGGTCGACACCGCTGGGACAGCCACCGTGGAGGCCGCCGACATGGAGGACGACCCAGCCCCGACCCGGAACGAGCCGCGGCCGCTGCCAATTCTGCTGGACATCCCGCGGAGCTGGCCAGCCCATGCCGTCGCCATCGGTCAACTGGTCGGCGGCCAGTTTGACGCCGCCTGCACGGGGAGGTCCCTGCGCATCAGAGTCGACAATGTACCACACTTCCGCGCCGTCCAGCGCTATCTTCAAAACGAAAAGATAGCCTTTCATACCTTCGCCCTGCGGACTGAGCGGCTTCTCAAGGTGGTGGTGAAGGGCCTCCCACCGACGCTGACCCCGCAAGAGATCATGGCCGAGTTTCACGACTTCGACATTTGCGAGGCGAAGCTAATGAAGACTCGTCGAGGGATGCCGACCGGCCTCTGGCTCCTCACGATCCGCAGGACGGAAGGATATTCCCAACCGTCCACTGTCTATGAGATCAGGCGTGCCTTTTACTGCAAGGTGGAGGTGCGGCAGTATAAGCGGCCCAACGGTCCCACCCAATGCCACCGTTGCCAGGGCTTCGGCCACGGATCGGGGCAGTGTCACCGCCAAGTCCGCTGTGTCCGCTGCGCGGACAGCCATCCAGCGACTGAGTGTCCCAAGGAGCCAGCAGCCCAGGCGAGATGCTGCAACTGTGGTGAGGCCCATACTGCCAACTACAGGGGCTGCTCTTGTTTCAAAACTCAGCAACGGGCTTCTTACGCGGCAGCGGCGAATTCGTCCACGGCTCCGTCGGGCCGTCAACCACGCCGGGTCGACCCGCCGGCTCCGAGACCTGACCCTGTGGACGAAGAGGCGCCTGGGGCCCCCGAGGTCGATGACGAGGGCTTCCGGACTCAGCGTAGAAGACGTCGTCGAGCTCCTCGGAACCCGGACAACCGTGGCAGAGCTTCCGGCCCGAGACCCCGAACACCCACCCCTCCTGTGGAGCAGTCCGCCGCCCCGGCTGAGACCCCGAACCCTCGAGTGAGGCGAACTCCCCGCACTCACCTGGAAGTCCCTCCTCGCCAGCCCAGCGGCCCTGCCCGGCAGCCCAGCAGCCCAGCCCCGCAGCCCAGCAGCCCAGCCCCGCAGCCCAGCAGCCCTGCCCCGCAGCCCAGCCGCCCTGCCCAGCCCATCGAGCCGGCCTCAACCCCGGCCCAGTCGTCCACGAGCCCGTCGCAGCAGTCTGAGCTGGCTCAACTCATCTCCACGCTGAGGAGCATGTTGGTCGTCGTCGAGCGACTTGTTGACCGGTTGACTCAACATCATGCGTAGACTTCGCATCCTCTCGTGGAACGCCGACGGGCTTGCTGACAGACGCTACGAGCTGACACACCTCCTCACTGACATGGACGTTGACGTTGCCCTCATCCAGGAGACGCATCTGTGCGGTGGGGACGCGTTCAACGTCCGAAACTACTACACTCACCGGACTGACAGGCCTCTGCAACGACATCCCAGTGGTGACTCGGCGGTACTGGTTCATCGTCGGGTCACCCACAGACCGATCGTCAGGAACCTCCCGCCTGGCATCGAGGTGACGACCATCGCCCTCCAGCATGACGGTGCAGAGCTGGAAATCTCCTCTGCCTACAACCCCCCAGGGAGACGCCTCGACCCCGGACTCCTGGACTTGCTGCTGCCCCCCGACACCCCGGCGCTTCTGGCAGGCGACCTCAATGCCAAACATCTGGACTGGGGTTGCAGGAGAGGAAACTTCACTGGGGCCGCTCTCAGGCGCTACCTCACCGCCCACCCTCACATCAACGTGGTTGCCCCGGCCGACCCCACACACTACCCCCGTGCTGGACACCCGCCCGACATCCTGGACATCGGACTGGCTGGCTCGTTTGATGGCCCGATCGAAGTCTTCGTCGTCTCCGACCTCTCTTCCGACCACGTCCCGGTGATCTTCGACCTGCCGCAGGGGGGAGTCCCCGACCGCACTCCAGTCCGCAGGAAAAGAGTGAACTGGGCGAAGTTCGCCAACCTCCTAGCCAACGCCCCTCGGCCGCCTCCCCCGCCTCCTGCGACCACGGAGGAGCCTCGACCAGCAAGTCCTGGGCCTGACAACGCTGCTGCAGGACACTGTGGTTGCCGCCAGCTCTGACGTTGACCCGAGGGCTCCCCCGCCACTTCCCCAGGGGCTGCGGGAGGAGATCACCCTGCGACGTCGCCTGAGGAGGGCGTACCAACAGTCCCGCTGCCCTCGTGCGAAGGCGGACTTCAACCGGCAGGCTAGAAGGTGCTCCCGACTGCTGGCTGAGCATCGGTCCCAGGAGTGGGAGGACTTCGTCGAGAGCCAGGCTGACACCAACGACGGCATCTGGAAGATCGCCAAGGCTCTGCGCGGCACGAAGACCCACAACAGGCCGCTGCATGGGGGACGCGGGCTCGTCTACTCGCCCGAAGACCGTGCAGAGACCTTCGCCGACTCGCTGGAAGACCAGTTTCCCCTCACCCAGACGTCTACGACGAGGACTTCTGCGAGGTTTTTGACGACTTCGTAGAGGCCTACGAGCCGGACTCCGACGAAGAGGACATCCCCCATGTGACCGTCAGCGAGGTGAAGGGCCACATCGCTCGACTCCGTCCGAAGAAGGCCCCTGGACCGGACTCCCTCGGGACTCCAGCACTGGAGAACCTGCCGGCTTGGGTGATTGTCGTCATCACCTGCCTCTTCAACTCCTGCGTGAGGCTGGCCCACTTCCCCGACACCTGGAAGTTGGCGAACATCATCCTCATCCCCAAGCCCGGCAAGGACCACATCTTCCCCGAGAACCACAGGCCGATCTCCCTCCTGCCTGTGCTCTCCAAGATGCTGGAGCGGATCATCCTGGCGAGATTCCCCGAGGAGTTCTTCTCTTCGATCAGGACTGAGCAGTACGGCTTCAGGCGGGGCCACTCCACCACCCTCCAGCTGCGGCGGGTC